ACTGTTGCCTCTGTTTGAGTAACTCTTTTCAACAGAAGAGTGTGCTGTTCCCCCGCAGGTTGGAAACTGTGAGAATTTAAATAAAATTTCATCAACCTTATTAAAATATGTAGGGACTTGGGTCTTCTTGGGTACAAATCAGTCTAGAGACTTAGAAGCATTTATTAACAGTGAGGCTGCTGAAGGTTTTTAATAATAAAATTACAAATACTCTATCTAATTGTAAGTATATGACTTTTATACTCGGTTTTTAAGGGGAAAAATACTTTTTTTTATGAGGCAAAGTAACTCCGTCAGAGCACCTTCTGTGATTAGCGCTATTGTATTCTTAAATTTTGATTGATAGAGATAATAGTTTTCACTTAAAAATACAGACAGGTACTTTAACTTTCCATGACAATAGCTATTTGCATTTCTTTTATCTTTTTGTTTAACATTTGTGGGGGTTGGGATGGATTTGATTATTAACTCTTATTGCACACTAAAGGTGAATCTAAAACAAAGGCTTTGTTAGAGCTTCAAAGGGAAAACAGCAAATATTGTTTTTAGGTTTCAACATTTAAAGGCTGTTAAAGGATACCTATAAAATATTTTCACATGACCATGACCAGGGTTTTACTTTTCTGTAAGGTAAGAGAGAGTCATTTTTTTCCAAAGGAGATGGGCCGTTGTGGAGTTAGTGGGGGGCTGCCAGCCTGAAGTAATTTCTGGGGCAAGCATGGGCTGGGCTTGCCTTTACCACATGCCTTAATTTATAGTATTTTAGATTTTTACTTACTAGAATGGACCCCCAAAGTTAGGCTCTGTGATTTGAGGGGAGTCCCTGAGGATGAGGAGAAAAGAAGTAAAATGTTATGTGCAGGGATAGGAGGGGAACTGGGGAAATAAGTGATGGATTCAAAGTAGCGCATTGCTGTGATAGGGACAAGTAAAAGAAAGGTAATTTTTGTAAAGCAGCAAACCCGGGTAGCGTCCACGGTGGCCTTTGCTCTCGGAGAGCTGGGCTGTACAGGGGCAGCTTCTTTTCTTTCCTGTTTCCTTCCTTCCTTCTTTTCCTTTCCTATCCCCCCTCTGTTTTGCGCTCTCTCTTTTTCTTCTTTCTTCCCCTTTTTCTTTTTCTTCCTTCTTTTCTTTTCTTCTTTCCCTCCCTCCCCCCTTTTCCTTTTTGCAAGCCTGACTCAGTATTTGAAGCTTATAAGGGCATAGAGAAAACTTTGGGGTTGATTTCTGAGTAGATTTTCTTGTCTTAAGTACAGAAAATAAAGTGACCCTTGTTATTATGCTTTTTCAACTTGTCACATATGTGTCGATGTCCTATTTTTTAAGAAATCATTGAAAAACAAGACATAAAAGCCCCTATACGCTGAGGTTCACTGCTTTAAAGAGGCAGCAGCCATCTCTTGGAAATTAGCCCATTTGGACTTGTTTTTGCAAATGAAATACAGGCTATTTGATTGGAGGATGCGGGGGTATGGGAAGTTTGAGCTGTGTTCCTTCCTACACTTAAAGAGTTGGAAGGGGTCCTTTAGTCAAAAACCTACTAATCACCCCCTTCATCATGGGCCAGGGGCTCACACTGCTTCTCTTTGCATCTTTAGTAAGACCTGGCACACAGTAGGTTCTCTCAGCCAGCATTGGTTGGGCCGAAGGTTGAGATGAAATATATTGGCCATCCTTCGCTTTTGCATAGCTGTATAAAATGAAATATACCGCAGGAATCTTGACGAAGATCATTTATTTTAGCTACCAAGAAAGAAAAGGAGGAAATATTTTAAACGGGAAAAATAGAGCCTATGTTGTTCATTTTCAGTCTTGTAAAATGAAATCACACCTCCACACTTACCTGCAACTGAATTCCAAGTAGGACATCTCACTATGTATTGTATGTCTCATGGATTAAATTAAGGGCAGAATGTACCCATAGAAAGTGTAACATTGAAACACTGTTAATAACATAAGAGTTCTGCAGAGTGAAATTCCTAATTTGCCGGGGAGAGATTGGAGAGGTAGAGGGAGAGGGAGACGAGAAAGCACATTAAGTTTCTGACTCTAGAGGTGGAAGCTAAAAGTTGGTATCTTGGTCATGGCTTTTGTGGTCACCACGTCACTTCAGGTGGATGATACTGTTGCAATCAATAGTGAAGAGGCCACAGAACAATTCTGGTATTCACAGGATCTTAACTGTGAATAACAAAAAGGAACATAATTTGTTTACTGTATCGTGGGCTCACTTTTAAAACCTAAAACCAATAGGAAACTTAAAAAAGAAAGAAAAAGGAAAAAAAAATGCAATTTGTATGGAGACAGCAGTTTTTAAAAGAAGACAGGTGTGCTGAAGGGGAATATATTTCTTTTATTTTTTTTTTTAAATACTTAAAAGCTTTATATAATCATTTAATTTTAGTCTTGGCACTCATACTGCCGGTAAACATACAGATAAATAATAGAGATATTTGAGAAGTAAAAGTGATTGTTTAAAAAAATAATAAATATAGCTCTGGAAACGGAAGTTCTATGCTTTGGAAAAAAATGAAATGCAGATTTTTCTCCTAGTTGTTGATTTCTGATTCTTCTAAGCTAGTAATGGTGCAGACTAGGGCCTCGATACTACCCCCTAATTTTCTTGTCTATTATATTGACACATTTCATTTAATTTAGCATGATGGCAAACAGCTGTTGAACTGTTAATCTTTTTCTCAGCAAAACTGGAACAATATCTTAGATTCCTTTGCTAATGTGTACTTTTCTAAAAACTAAAATCAAGAGAAATAAATTAATGAGTGGTCAAATGTGCATGTGCATTAGAATTTATGGAACTTCAAAATGGAGGAAAATACAGATTATATCTCACTGCTGACTTTTTATGTATAAGTGAAAATTAAATGTAGTCAATTTTGTATTGCTTTGCTATTTGTAACTGGAGGGTCAATTGTATAATTTCATTTTTAATTCTCCCACTCCCAGGGAAAAAAAATCACACTCGTAAAATCTGAGGGTGAACCAGCTTCTGTATTTGCTCTGTGTTCACTTATATACCGCACCGTATATATAGGTGAGTGGAGAAAGAGGCCTAGTGCTTACCTGAAAATGTTCTGCAGGTTCGAATGCAGCACTGGAGATAACTTTATTCAAAGTAGGCATTTTCAGCAGTTTAAAAAAAATTAAATTTTAATGAAGTCCAGTTGTTTGCCAGGCCTATATGATAGCAAATCTCATCTGCATTGCAAAGTCTCTAATACTATAGGTCTGACTGCCAAACATGCAAAAATAGACACAGCTCAATAGATAAACATATAAATTAGGTTAGAGTGTATGTATTGGAGAATATCTTAAGTGAAAAGGAGGGAGAAAAGGCCCTGCTTCCTTTGAATTGACTAGGGTCTGCCAAAGTTCGCTCGCTTTACATTTAAGATTTGATGAGTAGTGGAGGTAGAAATTTCTAGTGTGTAAGATACTGCTGCGCTTTGTATCCACTGAGCTCTTATTCGTGTGGCGTGGGGCTGCTTTGCAGACCACTGCTTTACCTTGAGGACCTGACCATCCCTGCTTTGTTTTCCTTTCTTATCACTGCTTGCCCTGAAACAGAGTTCTCACCACTGGAGAAACCAATCCTGGGGACATACATCAGCAGTAAAGCACACGATTTTCATTTTCAATTTGAATTGTTTTGTGTAAAAACAAAAAGGTTTTAGGCAGACTGCAAAATAGTAATTTTAAGTCCCAGAGCTAGGGTTTTCCCCCACCCAAATGGTGAACATTTATGGTGAAAACCTCCAGTTTCCTCTTACAGTAAACATGAAAATTATGATTTTACTCAGAGGCTGCATCTTTTTCCAGTCTTAATGGCAAGAATCTGCATACACTTGCTTGTGGAAATGTCATAAATTGGCCTCCGATCAATTCCTCAAAGATAGTGTACACTAAAGTGCCTCTTTCAAAATTTTAGCCCCGGTGAAATCAGATTTTTACCCTTCTCAGTGATGTTTGCCTTTCCACATGCGGGGCCGACAGCAGAGGAATAAGCAGGGGTGTATTCCTATAAAATTAAAACCACTTCATTACCTATTGTTCTGGAGAGTGATATTAACATTTTAGTAAAATGATACGATTTCACTATCTTAAAAAAAATTATCTGAGCATTTGGTCAGTGGTTGTAGAATGAATCCTGTACCCTCTTGGTAATTTGATCTAAATTAATAAACAAATGTTTTTCTTTTCACTCGTGCCATATGTTGATCCCAGTTACATGGGCAGAAAGAGGCAGCTTGTAATGTTTCTTAGAGGATTACACACTGTTTTGCATAAGGGAGTATGCAGATGCAGGAGTAGATGTGGGGTAAAATGTGTTCCATGGCTGCTTTGTGTTTTAGGAAGCTTGATTTCAATTGTTTATTTCATCTGACACGAACCATTTTTATTTAACTTAGTAGATTTGGTAGATAGATGCTAAGTGAAAAACATTCTGTGAACAGCTTTCACCAGCAATTAACCCCCCACGCCTCCCCAAACTGAAAATTGTGGTGCTTTTATTCATTTTGAAAGGTCTAAAGTGGCAGAAAGCATCTTGTCTACAAGAACCAACTCTCTTCTGAAGGGGGGAAAAAATAAGCCTCTGCTTTAATGAAATAAGAGATGTCGTGGGTATTAACCAAACGGAGACACGTTCAAGTAGCAGTCTGGTTTCCAAAAACAAAGGCCTGTGAGTCACGTATTATTCCACATGAAAATAAATTGATAGACAAGATGAGAAAAAGTTCAGACGCAAAATTTGAAATTTTTCACCTTGACTTTTTCCATCCAAGTTGATTTTGTTGTCTTGAAGAGCTTAGAGGCGCGTGGTCCAGATAAGTGGAGGTCTTGGGACTTGTTTTTATTAACTCTGGAAGTCATTTGCCATTAAATATAATTGAGTTCCTTTGTTGTTTTGCTTGTGTCTATCCCAGGCAGAGGTGGTTGCTACTTCTTGACATTCAGATTTTGATGTTCTCTTTTGTTTTCAGGGTAAGACGTGACCTTTTGAGGTGACTATAACTGAAGATTGCTTTACAGAAGCCAAAAAAGGTAAATGCAAATGTGATTAGTAGAATTATATCTAGGGCTATATCTGTTGCCTTCTAGGCATTTTAATTCTGTTATTTTTGATCTGTATTTGTCAAATATACGAGTATTTATTTGTGTGTAAGTATGTCTGTAGCATATTTTTGGAGGTCCTAAAAGAAAAGGTTGCTCTTAAGAAATGGTTCACAGATTTCCTTTTTTCCCCCAAATATTATCAAACTTTCCTCTGTTTGTTGAAGCTGAACTTATTTTTATTTTTTATTTTTTTTTCTTGCTTGTCGACTTGGTAGGTTTAACGTTCGAAAGGAATATTCACATCACAAAAGTGGTGATTCATGAAATTAACTTGCTGCAGACAAGAGTAACGCATGTCAGTGTTGTGTGCTGAAGTGGTGTCATCCAATTGATGTTCATCTGGCGGCTTCATAATCACCTTCTTTCAGAAATTAACAGTCAGGCACCATAGCAACACGCCACGTTGATGTCACTGCTGAGCAGTGTGGGGCATATCCCTGTAATGTCAGCACTAGGCCGCCTTGTTCTCTTGACCTTGCTTGAAAATCAAATGAGTACTTGATTTTAAAATTAGAAGTTTTCAGAGAGACTAATGTAGCTTAATGAATTAAAGCCAAATTTAATTTTCTCAAATTCACTTTTGGGAGGGAGAATGAAAAAGAACTCTGGTTAAAATGGTTAGAGATGTTACATATTTACTTGATTTCTAAAGTCTCTCTCCGGTAAGGGCCACGACCATCTCACATGAGATGATCTTGCAGGTCATTTTGATGTCCGATGTTTCTCAAGTCTTCGTTTCATTTTTGATTTTTGGCCTGTAATAGTTCCATTTGATTTAGTAGCTTTGTGTCTGTTTAAAAACAGGTTACTTGCCAGCATGCTAGAGCAAAGCCTTTGCTCAGATTTTATTAAATTAAAGTTTATGTATTTGTAAGATACAGGCTTCTTACTCTTTAGCTGAACAGGTTTTTTGCAGAACTTGCATAATGTGAAGATTCTTTGATCGATTTTGTTTTTAACTCACCTAGGGTTTGGGGGTTCTAAAAGGATGTGGATTTGTTTTTATAGTTGCATTCTGGCACATGTCACTTTGGTCAGAAAATTCAGACTTGCCTCATTTTGCCATCTATGTTGTTTAAATTAAACCTTTGCAGAATGTACCTAACTGTCCTCCAAAGAGGACAGACGTACCTTTCAGATGTTTCGTAGCGGAAGGGGTTGATCCCAGCCAGTAGTTAGGATCAAGTCACAGCAAGACTTTGGGCAAAGTGCTTTCCTTTGCAGAGACTCAATTTTCCAAATTTAAAAAGGAAGGGATTAGTCTGTATCAGGGGTCTATAACCTTTTTCTGTCCAGAGTCATATAGTAAATACTGCCTGCTTTGGGGGCCATTCAGTTTCTGTTGCAGCTACTTAGCTGGGCTGTAATTTGCTGTCTCCTGGTCTTTGATCAATCAAAGTGATCTCAATCCAAGAAGCTCCTCATGCAAAGTCATGCCAAGTGTTCAACTCATCTTGTGCTGTTAGCAGAGGTTTCTGGTGAAGCTAAAAATTGTGATTAAACAAAGCAGAAAAAGTGTGAAAAGATGAAAAATTCAGCTTGAGAGTTGCCTTATTCATACAGCTCCAAATAAGAGCTTCATTGATAGGTTTTCGTTGATTTCTTTGTAATCACATGTAATCATGAATTATTTTTCTTCCAGCTTGATATCTTTATAAGGTTCATGCTTACATCCATTACCTGAAAATGGAAATGTGATTTTTCCCCCCAAATTCTATGATATTGTTCAAAGTTAAAAATACCGTAAGTCAAGGGAAAATTTAGGGAAAAATGTTTCCAGGAATTTGTCACTAGCGTTTGCCGAGATAGTCTGTGTTTAAAAAAAAAAAAAAAAAGCTTTTTTTATACTCACTATCAAGTGCACGATCTATTATTCAATATCCAGCAAATAAGCCCCCCCCCCGCCTTGTAAAAATTTCTGCTTCATAAAAACGTTTTATCTTCCTGATTACCTCCTTTCATGACAGGAGGAAAGCTGAGTAACAAATCCATACAGTTCTTCTCTTTGACCTGACTGGTAGGAAGCTCGGAATAAGAGTTTTTACTTAATCTCTGTAGTTTTTCTCAATTTCAGCTGTTCTTCTTGTCTTTTTGTTCCTTATACACATAATCTTCAGTTTTCCTGTCCCCAATGAACATTTGATTGCTGAGCTTTTTTTTTCCTTTTACAGTATCCATTCCATCTGTGTTTAGACTCTTCAGATTTTGGGGAGAAATAAATTAGGGTATATAGACTCAAGTAATTAGTTATATGCAATTTTTACCTTTGAACGAGCTCAAAAATCTTTCAAAAACTCATTTGTATGTATCTTGATCTCTTACATCGAAAGGAATAAAAGGTTTGCTAGAAGTATAAAATAAAAGATGTTAAAATGAGTATAGTGGTTGGTGTTTCTTCCTGACACATGCCTTAAACAAGGAGAAGATCTCGTTGTCCAGCAGTGGACAAAAAACCAGCACCATCTTTCCCACTACCAGAACAACAGAGATTTCAGATGCCAGGAGCTTCTCAGTAAATACCATGCCCCAAATTTGAAAGCTGGCAATCATTAACAGAATAGAGGCACATAAATATTCCTGCACAGGTACTATGGGAACAACTGGTTGTGTATATAAAAGTGGCCAGGCAAATTCAGAAAACCAGGTGAAGCCATTTTTAGAATTTTTGTTAAAACATCTGAAGAATCACAAATAACAGCCATGATACTTGGTAGTGATGTGACACTTTTCTTCCAAGTAGATCTGAGTGTTTTGCAGAATGGGTCTGGTTGCTGGCATTCCTAAGAGGTAGCTGGCAATTATTATAATTTCCATTTTTCAGAGTGGGAAAGTGGCCCTGTAGATGGTAAGTAACTTACCCAAGGTCATCTGGAATGTCAAAACAGAAATTAAAAGGAGAACTTGCTCTGGTCACAGTTATAGAAA